AAGGCGGATTTGACACGTGTGCAAACAGAGCCCGTTGTTTGTCGTTCTAGTTCGACGAGACCCTGAGCTGACGAGAAACTGAGCCCAGTTCGCGTCCGCGCTGATCCCAGTAATCACGTCGGGCTCTTTGTACAGCGACGGTACCGCGCACCCTCGGCGCTCAGGTTGGGAGTTCTCCCATCTGCGAGTTCTCCGTGGAAGAAACGTAAAGAAAAGTACGCCGACGCGAGCGTTGGGGGTTCCGAGGCACGCGGCTCATTCCCTTCGTCGCCCAAGAACGCGCTGTAATGACAGGCTGCCACGTTCGTTCCGACAGAGCTTCCCGCTATGGTAACCGATAGCTCCCGCCTCGGCTGGGTTCAGCTGGGGATTCGGCAATCTGGGCAGCCGCCTTTGCTTCTAACGCCCGCTCAACGGGCTCTTCATGAACACGCTCATTTGCCTACTGGAGCTGTAGGGCATTACGTGTGCGCAGAAACAAGTTTTTTTTTTTTAATTTTATTCAAGCATTATGCATCTGCTGTTACCCTGTTTAACAACGACCGCTACCGCGTACGTTATGTAAGAGGTTGGTGAGACCGGTAAAAGCGGTAAGATAGGGTGTCTGAAATTCCCAGGTTGGAACTAAAATGAGCCCTAAACATCGGCTCCTGTACGTAGCAATCTCAACTTTTCGTCAAAAGTGTATTTCGCAGGTCGGTTTCATCTTGTAATATTACAAAGCGTAGCTCCTTTTCTGTAGAGAAGGGATTAAAAACTTAGTGAAAAGACGGTGAGAGTGCAGGCGAGCTGGTGGTAGCTAATCATGTCGTTTTACACCTGAGACTGCGGTGAAGAAATCGGAAGAACTTTCAGTAGAAGGAACAGACACAGAGAACGTCTCAAACTCAGCTCAGATTAAAAACTTGCCAGGGTCAACGGCGGACGGCGACGCAGACGACCGAGTCGAGTGGCGGGATGTGATTGGCGCATGTATTGGTAGATGGCGCTAGCGTGTTATTGAGACTAAAATCCCTAGGTAAGAGCTTTCTACAAGTAGTGAAATTCTTTGAAGCGCCGACTGCGTGACGCTGCAGGTTTTAGGAAGCGAATGGCGGCGCACAGCAGAGGCCTAAACTGAATGACGCCATTTTGTTCCAGCGGAATGTGTTTTGTTATTTGTATTGGTTGTCGTTACTTGTAAAAGAAGTATCGAGGAACTTTAATTGAGACTGGTCACGACGATCGTGGTGTATTAAAATGAACATCATTTTTGTAATGCACCTTGGGTTAAAAAATAAACGCGGAGAATGAGAGCAAAACTTGAAGTAAAAATAATAAAATAAAACGTGGTTGCATAACAACGGCGCTAACGGCGCTCTTTTTGCTGCCAATGAATTTCGTCTGAGTGTCGTCTGGTTTCTTTCGCTGATTGGCTACAACTTCCGACACTGCTCCCGACGCTGCTCTCGACGCCACCTATCAATAACCACGCCAAGCGCTCCCCGCCACTCGACTCCGTCGTCTGCGTCGCCATCAGCCGCTGTCCCTGTCAAGCTTTTCGGCCCTATTTTTTACACAAAGGGAGCTACACTTTATATTCTTGCATGATAAAACCAACCTGTGAAATACAGCTTTGACGAAAAGTTTAGACTGCTCCGTGCAGACGCCGATTTTTACGGGGCATTTTAGATCGAGCCTGGGTATCTTAGACGCCCTAATTTGAAGCCCGATAGTAGTGTTTCCATAGACGCTTCCAGCCCCACTTCAAATTAATCGCTGTTTAGAGCCTTCCCCACAATCTTGCCAAGACGCCTGGCTACTGATAGTGGCTATGTTGAACAGTCCGTGTGCTATGCTAGTCTCTGTTAGCTATTAAAGGCACAGGATTCTGGGAATGTAGCTCCATTGCCCCCATGCCTGCCAACCGGACACAAGGAGAGCATACAAGCGACCAAACCTCGCTAAGTGTTTGACTAATCGGTCTCAATTGCCCCAATAATCGCCATTTCGTCCATTAAAATCTCCGAAGCTTCGAAAAGGTCGTTCTGAACCAGCTGCACCAAGATTGCTGTGGAGCTTCATCGTACCGAAAGCGTTCTTCGGAAACATAAGCGTCTTTTGAGCTGTGCATGCAATCCACTTATCAATCATTCTCATCACCACAGATCTCTTAGAATGGCATTCTTTTTCTCACGCATTCGAGGAGAGAATAATTACCTTTAATGCCGCCCAGTACAGGCATAGCTTGTGCTGGCGTGCGAAAATGTGCGTTTGTTTGGTCGGTGTGTGGATAAAAAGATATTGGCATTCAAGGAACGTCTCTGTAAAGCTACCCGTCACCAGCGAATTAAGATCGGCTCACCAAAAATGGGGATGCCAAGCAGAAACTGTTTATCCCATGAATCGAAATGGCGATCATACGGGGAGTTTGGCGCCTTCCCCAGTATCCAGTGACATCAGCTAGAGACGCTTTCAGGCTGCTGTGCATGGCGCTGATATAAGCGACTTTGATTTCTTGTTTCCTTTTATTCCGTTCGCTTCACTTCATCATTGCGGCAGCGGGACAAGTTATTGCCACTTTAGGTGCGACAGTGTCCTTCTCCTCAACATAGGCCTTTGTGGCCGCTGGTCAAAGCACGCTTCAGTGGCTCGGTAGCTAGGTAAGACTGTAGAGAAGGTCGACCATGGCGCTCATTCTGGTGCGTGTTTAAAGCGTCTATAACACGCGGACGGCGATCGCACTAAAGCCCCTTCATGTTTCAAAAGTAGCGCAAGGTGCATCGATGCACGAGGCACGTGCAACGTGCAGCCCTTGGGAAGATTGTGGCGGCACAGCGCAGCAATGAGATAGATTTCAAACGCCATGTTCTTCCCGGAAGTGGTGCGCGGCACGCGTCTCGAGAATTTTCACATTGAATGGCGCCATATTTCCCAGGATATACGGGGTTAAATCGCACTAAAGCTCCTTCATGTTTCAAAAGCAGCAAAAAGTACGTCGCTGCACGAGGCACGTGCAACGTGTTACCCTTGGGAAGATCGTGGCGACCCAGCGCAGTACTGAGCTAGATTTCAGACGCCATGTTCTTCCCAGAAGTGGCGCGTGGCACGTGTCTCCAGAATTTCCACAACAATAGACCGATCTCATCAAGCGTTCCACGCATGCGTGACGCCGCCATAACTGTAGTTCGTAGGAGGCAGACGCCAGTTCACGGGACAGCTGATGCCGCCTCGTGCTCTGCTCGCGCAGACCTCCAGCAGGGTTTTCGCGCGTGCAGAAAGACTACAGCTCCCACGATGCATGGCGGCAGCGGCGGCGTACTCAAACTAGCTGGTGAGATCGGTAGAGGGGCTTTAGATCGCACCACACGCCGGTGCCGCATAGCGCTCGATCTTGGAAACGTTGCTCAAGAGGGGAAAGCATGATCTCAATTTGGAACTGTTTTTTCTGAGTTACTAGAACATGCACCGCGCTTCGGTGAATGCACGAAATGCGGCGCTTCAAGCAGAAAAGGATTACAGCTCACGTGGTACAGCTGGCAAAGCACTCACCTTGTCCTTAATACGGCAAGTACGAGTTATTTCTCAATAGAAGCAATCTTATACGATCCGGTACAACTTGTATGTTAAGCAGCCCGGAAATCAAGCAAAAAATAAGAAAATCGTGACTCGGCGATTCAGGAGATAAGTTATCGGAATCACAGAATTCTTATAAAGTACACTAGAGGTTCAACTGACTCTAGTGCCTATGCAACTTTCGGGAGGCAGATTGAAGCAGACAGCAACCAGTCTACTTTTGCGGTGCTCCTGCGCATTCCTAGGGGAAAACGCGCGTGCATTCAATCTCTTCACCGAACAATAACATGAACCACTTTTGTTATTTGGGCCGCACCGAATAGTACGTACCTTTATTAGGGGATCCGGACATTTCGGTGTAGGACATTTCGGTGTAGGACGTTTCGGTGCGGACATTTCGGTGCACGGAAATTTCGGTGCACGGATATTTCGGTGCACGGATATTTCGGTGTACGGACTTTTCGGTGTACGGTCGCTTCGGTGCACGGAAATTTCGGTGTAAATTTGAAGTTCGGGAAGTTGAACTTACTTGCAGTTATTCGGACATTTTATGTTCACGCATAAAATATAACAGTTGTATTCATTAAGACATAAAGCTTGTCCCAATTCAAACACGGTTGATTCTGCTCGTTATTAAGACATACATACCTTAAACAAGTTAAATTACTTTCCTCTTTCACACTACGAGGATATTTTCCTAGCTAGCAGGTGTATAGCTAAACACAAACTTATTCGCTTGTCTGACTTTATTCCTGATGGAATGCTCTTTCTGGAAAGTAGCTCGAGATTATAGGCCTTCTGAATACTATAGAAACAGGTAAAGATACACATCATAGGTTAGTCGTGGGTTTCATTATCAAGCAAAAGTCCGAAGCCAAATGCATTCAGAAGCAAAATAGTACACAAAATGTAATGTGGACCACTTTTATTTACAAAAGGCACATGGCCCGGGACCTAGAACGACACGTTGCGGGCAACTCCCCTAAGGAAGCGTCGCACATCACTAGCGTCGTATTCTCTAGCAAGTGTCTTTAACCGTTCTGCAGCCTTCGCGTATTTCGAGGCCTGCTTGAAGCGCTGGCCCATCTCGAGTCTTCCAAGCCGGTGAAGTTGCAGGGCGTCTTCTCGTTGTAGCACCCCCAAGAATCTCCAGAGAGTTGGGTGCGAGCACTGAACATGAGCTTGGAAGCTCCGGTGCCAGGCTTCCACTGAGTTCGTGGTCTTGGAGCCGCCCTGGAGAACGGTGTCGTGGTGGTTCCATAGCTTAATTGGAAACTGCGCATCTCTGCTGCCCCGTGCCGTTAGCCGCCCAATAAACACATCCTCGAAGTAGTCGACCACCGGGAGAAGTTCTGCGCGGATGCTGGACGCAAGCTCGGTGAATGCCCCCTCCACGTCGTCCTGGGGCACAATTGCAAGAGCTGGGATCATGCGAGCTTCCAGGTTTATGTCGGGGTCAAAAGCATACAGCTCCTGTAGTCCTTCCGACTGAAGTCTGCGGTAGACACATTGCGACAGGTGAAAAAAACACCCGCGCACGTCGGCGCTTGGGAAGACCGCCCTGAAAGCGTTGATAGCCGCCAGTTCGTAATCCACTGTGACGGTCCTTGGCTCGCAATCTCCCCCACACTCGGCGTTAAGGGTGTTCAGGGCTCGCGTGTATGTCCCACAGTCTTTCCGCGTTAGCAAAATGTATGCCGCAGGCAGGATGGAGCCGCCCACTTCGCAGTGTAGACTGTAAACCTGGTAAAACAACTCAGGCGCAACCTTGAACGTCCCGTCGGCGAACCACTTCTTAGATGCTAGGAGAACATCCACCATCTGCGGGCTGCAGAAGATAAGAAAACGGTCCTGGTCTTGCACACCGGAGTCATGCAACAGGAATCTGGACCCGTCAATCTTCGACGCGTACTGCGCAGGGATGACGACGTCTTCTAAGCGTGAAGGGAGAGGCATCGGCCGTTGCTCCATCGCCCGCGCCCTCCTGCATGCAAAAAAGTTGGAAATATTATTGCTGTCACGTTTCAACTATAGGGCGGTTACTCATTATTATTTTACTATATTTTCAATTTTAAAAATGTTTAGGCTAGCCCGATGATAAACTGGACATCTCCATAGCATATGAGGTGGCATATATTTTGCTAAGGTAGCAAAGATGTTAATTCGTAACATTCGTGTATAACACTTACCTTAATGTTCTCTTAACAGTGTCCTGAGGCGGTAAGTAACTGCAAGCTTCCGGTGTCATCTCGGCCACCAGGCGTCCGACGATGGCTTGATTGGGTTCCTCAGTCGTCCGTGCTCTTTCCTTCATTGATGAGTACGCCAACTTGGCCTCTTGGTCCAGTCGGCTGGGAGCATGGCTGTGTTCGTTGATCAGCTTGACAACTTCTTCGTCAATAGTGTGAGCCCTTGCTTTACACTCCAGTTTCCGGCTACATTGCCAGTATGTCTGCGAGGAATAGGCGTTTTTATAAATTATAACTTAGCTAAAGACAGGAAGAGTCGGCGTAACAATCTTCGTACTATTAAAAAAAGATCGCATTTGAATCGCAAACTCAGTGAAAGGCTCACCTTTTCTTTGAAGCAACGTTCCTTGTCATACTCGAAGCCTTCGTGCAGAAGTTTCAGCCCACCGCGGTTACTTCGCAAGTACACAGCCATTTCAGGGAAGTGACGAGTTAGTTTGCACCAACACTGGTTGGCATACGACGAGGCGACACACAAGTGAGTCACCAATAGGGGCGTGTCCTCTAAAACCGGAAGTTCTCCCCCCTCCCTCCGCTTCACATTTGCGGCGTTATGTCCTCTCCTGGACCTTCCTTCCTTTATGATAGAATGCGAAAAATTAACTGGAAAGGGCAGAAATAACTGGTGACATAAGACCAAATGCAGGGGTGCCCCCCTTTTCGCACCTCACCCGCTGAAGGCGAAACAAAAGAAAACGAATTCCTGCCTTGTTTGTCCGTATTGTCAATTTCTCCATAATTCTTCTAGGAGAGAAAAAAGGTTTGTTGAATGGAACGGCTTTACAAAGGCAATTCCAGTGATAAGCCTATATCCGGACAAGCTATCTTGGGTTGATTGTTGGACACCGCAGGAGCATAACATAGCAGCCGAACAAAGGGTAGACTTACCTCCTCCCTCCCCTGCCCCTACTCTTCCCGCTCTAAAATAGTGATCTTAAAAAAAAAAAAAAAGAAATCGGCATACCCTTATTTGTGTTTTTCGGTTTAGACCAAAAACTACTTATAGCATATAACTAGGATTCCATGCTTTCGGAGTTTAGCTTTCGTCAAATTTGGAGGTTTTTTTGTGTTTTCTTTTCTCAAAAATCTGGCATTTACCGGCGTTTATTTTCGGTAAATACTGAATTCTCAGAAATTACGAGTTTATCGAATTTTATTTCTGGTCAATTTCCAGATCTCCGAAAATGGTGAACAAAATAAAAAGAAGCTATTCACACTTCGACGGATGAAGACAACGAAATTCACTTTTATTGCACGAACTTTACAGCTGGTGCAATCACGGTTGTTAGGAACTCTATCTCAGAGCTTGCTGTAATAGGTGCCGTCATATTTCGTCAGCTATTGTCGCTGATGGCACGCATATTGACGAGATGAGCCTCTTTTGGCAATTATACAAGTTGTGGAAGGGCACTGGTGAGCGCTCTTGGTACCGTTTTATATTAGAACTAATATTTTTTGTGCTTTGACTTCGATTTTGGAGTTTTTCAGATAAACCCGAATCAACGAAAATTTTAGCCGGCGAGTGCTTTTCAGAGTTTTTCGGATATATCCGAAAACACGGAGTCCTACCTATAACTACTCCTGGCGGCGGCCCCGTTCTTCGAAGCATCGTGTTGAGCTTCGTCCATGGCTTTGTCCTGAAGCCCGTATAAAGTTTCATCTTTCCGCTAAAGGCGAATCAGACCAACAAAGTCACCTCCTTGTTCGTTTTAACCAACACCGGTTGGTATACGACGAGGCGACACGCAAATATCAGATGCTTATCATATAACATCGAGTTCTCAAAGTGTAAGGTTAAGGTAAGGCAAGTTTCTGGCATTGTTGACCCTTTTCGTCACAAGTTCCCCGATCCCGGCTTCCCGAAAGAGGCGCACGGTTATCAACCTTTGTCGGAGGCGATAAGACTAGCGTTTATCCCCGTTTCTAAAAAAAGATGGCTGTCTTCAGAACACAAAAAGTTAGAGAAGCAGAAAGGTCCATTGTTCTGTCAACTACAAAGAATGAACCAAAAGGAGGGAAAAGTTTCTTATGAAGGCCGAAGCGTTCTCTGTAGCGTTCGAGGAAACAAAGCTGAACAGAGGAAGAATTACTTTTTCGTATCAACTTGGGGGCGAAAGATAAATACTACAAGGGCGAGAAAAAAAATCTTGGGTGTCCCTTTTGTGTTCAATGACCATGCACCGAAATATCCATACACCGAAATGTCCATGCACCGAAAAGTCCCTACACCGAAATGTCTTGCACCGAAAAGGCCGCACACCGAGAAGTCCGCACAGAAAGTTCCTACACCGAAATGTCCTACACCGAAATGTCCTAGACCCCTTTATTAGCACTATAAAAGTGCCATTGTTTTAGTTTGCGCATTTTTCTTCATCAGTGTACGTTGTTTACTTCGCTATATTTCAGACTCAAACCTCTGTTCCACAGCAGTTCTGCCAAAACAAAGCGACGACTCTAAGGAAAATAACAATCGAAAAGAATATTGAGCGTGTTCAAGGCTCGCCAGCATTCCGGAGACGCTTATGTATTGCCAATATGTCAGTTCTGTCGCTATATGAAAATGGCCCTGTCTTGCATCTTTACGAGCGATTAAAACATTCAAAACGTAAAAAATAAAGTACGTGGGCAATTAAACGTGTTATTTTATTTTTTTATCCAGGGCAGCTTTTTTAGGCACTTGTTCTAAAAAATTTCGAGCGTACGGGTGATGTTTTGAACGTAGAACACGCATCTGAACAGAGGCAGAAAAATAAAGCAGTAGTTACTTATTGAAAATCGGACTATATTACGCGTCTTTATTTTAATCGAACATGCTCAGGGAGTTAGTGATCCAGTGTTACTGCGTAGTTATTGCCATCCCTTCTAGTTTCCCAGATGTCCTGCGTTCGTTTGGCACGTATGTCCTCCATGCTGAAAGGTGCGGACGTCGTGTTCGCGCTAACAGTGTCCGACAGTGCACACAAATACATGTACGAAGCCGTTTTAGCGCCGTTTTTAATGCAATTGAGTTGAAAGGAAAACGTAGTAACTGACCAATTATTGCCGAACTGAGTAATGTCCCAAAGTACCTGTACTTACGAATTATTCCGGATATTCGCTCTTATAGGAGTAAGGGCACTCACTTTTTCCCATGGAAGTGCATTACCGGTGGTGAATTTTCGACTGACTGCTGTCTGCTTCAATTTTCCACTGCACACTAGCGCGATTTGAACCTCTAGCGTAGATTATCGTAACTTTATGATGAAAATAGGCCAATCTCAGAGCCGGCTTCATTAGGCCACCGCTGCCGCTATGCATTGTGGAATGTGTAGTCTTTCTTACGCGCGACAACCCAGCTGAGGGTGTGCGTGATTAGAGGTGGCAGGAACTGTCTCGTGCACTGGCGCCTGCCTCTAATGAACTCCAGTTATGCCGACGTCATGCGTCCGTGGGACGCGCAGTGAGGTCGGTTTACTCGGGCACGCAAGGTACACGAGAAAGAAACCTGCGGAGGGGCGAGAAGTAGCAGCACAAGACTGGAGCAAATCCTGCGCCTTGGAACAAAACAAAGCAGCCTTCGTGAAGACCGGAGAACGCAATAGAACGCTGCTGTTAGTGCAGGGCCCTTCGCTGGGACACGTGCGTCGTGAGCCTCGCTGTGTCCTTGTACGTCCCAAAGAAACTTCGCTGCCGCGTGGTCGAAAAGGAAAAAAACTGTTTACGTGAGCGGTGGGCTCGACTTATTGCTCCGTTTGTGCCATCTGAACTGCCGGGAAATAGAGCTGACGGTGGGACAGGTTGGGCTTGATTCTGTTTTTACGCCAAAGCTTGCTTGGTATGACTCTTGTCAGTGCTTTGTTTTTGGAGTTGCGCGTGGCCTGTCCGGTCGAGCATGCAGGAACGTACGAAGCGCGGTACACGGAATGATATCCTCCGAGTGCGTTAATAAATGGACTCACAGCATTACTTTTTAAGAAACAAGTAGTTCAAGCACTTCATGCGGTGAACATGCTGGACTTCATGCGGTGAATATGTTGCCAAAAAAAATGGACGAGTTTTGCTCGGCGACTTTTGCTCTTCGCGTGGCATCCACCCAGTGACTGCTAAGTCGCGCGCAAAACGAACCAGCCTGTCGGGCGAAATTCTTCAGTTATTTGTCGCATTATCCGCTTCATAAGATTGAGCCCCCCCCCCCCCCCCCCCCCCCCCGGCCCCCTCTAAAAAAAAAAGGCAAGCAAAAAATAACTAAGGAATACAGAAATGACCTGGAAAACACATTTTACAGCTGGTTCGCACTGCAAGCGGATCCGCGCCTTCTCAACCGTAAAGCGGCTGGGATCAAGCGGTGGTGGCGCGTTTTCGCCACCAGCTTCGGGACCGATTTCTTTTAACCGTTTTTATAAACCTCTAAGAGGCAACCCATCGCAACTCGACGTTGACGTGACGTCGGTGCCTATCGAAACAAGATGGCATCTGTCGGTGGTGAGGGGTCCGAGGCTCTGAGCCCTAGCGTTGAATTAGACAAATCAACGAAGAAACGTGATGTTCATGTTCGTCTCTTAAAGCCGACGCGAAAAAAATTGACCCGTAATCGTAAAGGGCTTTACTCCGGTGACTTGGTTCGGGCAAGGGTTTGTTCATAATTCGGGGAGCCAAAGCCCGTCGCTGTCTGCCGTGTTGGTCTTTGCCTTTAGATTATTGGAACCCACCCCGATCGATAGAAATGGCAGGTTTTGTAACCACTAAAGTGGTCGCGTGAACTACCGAGAGCTTTCGCCCCCATGCATGGCCACCACGAAGGCAGATAGAGACGCTGTGAGCCAAATTGCGTAGCCAACACGCTACCGCGGAGCTGACGGGATACCTGCGCTAGGTCGATGTAGGGATGGCCGGAGGGACTTAGCCGAAAGAGCTCGGGGAATTGGCGGCGCGGTCACCCGAAGCGTCCTTGGGAGGCGCCCGATGTCTTGTCTTTCCCTTTGGCGGCAAGCGGAGGCCAGCTCCCGAAAGTGGAAGCAGATTTCCCCGCGTGGGAAGTAAACAAACCTCTGTTCGCGGGTGGTCGCCCTTGCCGCCGAGGTAATTGGGGAGGCGACCTTGTCGGGGCCATGTCGGCGACTTCGGGGGAGAGAGGGAGGTCCGGCCTCCCTTCGGAATGTCGGTGCGCCTTTTTGGAAAAATTGAGTTTCAACGAGCCCGTGCGCAGAGCAAGTCGTGATCTCCCGCGGTCCCGAGGGCTCCGCGTACTTTGTCCTGCGGGGCAGAGAACTTGCCGTGCGCGGCAAGGAACTTGGCGCCGAGGCGCTATTGTTGGCGTTGGGTTGCCGCGGCATCAGCAGCGTGACAATTGTTTTGTCTTGTAAAGAGTTGTTCGTCATTTGTAAATATATATTTATTTACTCTACCACCGAGTCCTAAGCGTCCCTGTGGGCACCGGAAAGAAGCCACCCTCCAGCCAGCGCAGCACTCCACGATCGACGAGAAATATTACTGGCGCAGTCGACGGGGATCGTGGACGTCGTCGGCCACTTCGACAACATC